GAAAGGAAAAATAAGGAACACAATTATTTTTCATAGTACTCAAATGGAAATTCACTTCCAAAAAAGCAGAATGTGCTGGCAGTTTGAGTTGCTAATCTGTTTTACTTATCTAAATAATGTGAAGTCAATCTCTGCAGTGAAAGATGGGAGACTTATAGGCAACTGTGCACTATGAAAATTTCAGAAATTATGTAAAATACCACAGATTTCTTTAAACAGGGTTTTTGCCCTCTGGCTTGGTCAGTTGCCATATCATGGAACAAAAAGGGGTTTTTTAATGAAAATTCATGTGTCAAAGTGATGTAAGATCTCTGACTTAAGTGTTTTTATTCTGTTGCTGATCTTTATTTCCAATTTTACTTTCACACTCATTCTTTGAGACTGAGGTGTGACTGCATTCATTTGGAATTCGTGTTTCTCTGTCTACCTTTGCTAAGAAACACAGTCACTCTCTCCTCAGGGGACTTCATTTCTGTATTGAAAGATTGCTCTAGGACAAGATTAAACATCTGTTCTCACTGTGAAAACTTCCATGAGAGAGCATGAGCTTGGAGTCTATGTGTGATGAGCACAGCCAAACTGTGATAGATTCTCAGTGGAATATTTGGAGATAATTCCTAATATATATTTGAAAGAATGGCAGACTTAACTTATCCAAAATAATGAAATGCACTCCAAGTAAGAAGACTTAATTATTTATAGGTTTACATATTAAAATAAAATCTTTATGTATACTAAAACATTTAGCACATGGAGAATTCTTATTCCCTGCTACTGTTTTAGGGCTAAAGGATGCTTGAATTAAAGGCTGTGCTTAAATACTTTTGTGAATTATAGTCTTGACTTAGTATGGCTGGGTAGTCATGCCTGAGTAAACTAATAGCAGTGAGTATAAACAGTAAATAATTCAGATTTGTACACAGTTCTTCCCCACAGACAGTGAATGGCTTATGTTCTTTATCCACTTGGTTTCCTGTGTTAAGATGTCAAGCAGTTGCTTAACTTATTAAACTTATATGGCAAAGCCATTTTCTTACCATGCCTGCTGAATTATGAATGAAGTTCATCTGAATTATAAAAACAAAACCCCAAAAGAAAACCCAAAAGTCCCTGAAATGAGAACCTGTTGTCACTTGATTTGTTGTTTATAGTTTTAAGTAAGGTCTCCTATCTATTGCATATTGAATATGCAGCACTCCTGTTGCATTTTCAAACTGATTTACTGTTGATCTATTTTGCCAACAACATCTCTGTTCCCTTTATAATTATAGTATCTGACAACTATACCAATGTGGCTGATCCAGACCCATTATTCTGCAATTAGATTTTTGTACTGACTATACAGAATGCTTTTTTTTTCTTGTTTCACCTTAATCATCTTCCCTTTGAACCATCTGTTGAACAAGAGGGCTAATTATCCTCCTGCTGTATCTGCATTATATATGAGCAGGAGGTGCCTAACTGAGGTGTCCTTGAGCTATCAGTTATCACAAGTTGTCAAGCATAGAACTGAGCATTTTTAGGGCTGGGTATACAGTGTATGGTTTCCTAGGAGACTGTAACATCCCTCAGTAGGGCTAAAAAACCCTTGTAGAGTCTCTAATACTTAGCCAAGCCAGTACTTTATCTTGATGCCTTCAATATCTTACTTTATCCTTTTTTTTTTATGTGAGTACCTATGGAGAATCATTTTAAGATGGTGTATTAGAACCCTTAAAATAACACAGTACTAAGCAATGTAGAGATGTTAACTCCAAAACCATCACAGTGCCTTAAGAGGAAAACCTAGCGTATTTTCACACTTGATTACATTGATTAGTGAAATTAAAAATCAGACTAATAATCCTGTAATCACAAAGGTAAGACAGCACTGTATGAATTAAACATTGCTGTGAGCTTCCCATGCAGTGGAGCATTTGATGGGATTTTTGGGCCTGGTTTGAATCTATATGTCATTCTTGTGCTATTGGGTTTCTCCCTTCCTTGACAAATCAAAAATCCTGAACTAAAACTTCTGATTCTCCTTAGTTTATGAGGTTATTTTCACTTTGCAATTGTAATCCAGCCTCAGAGATTTAGTATCAAGTGTTAGTGCCGGGTTGGTTTTATTTGTCACATTTGGATGAGTTCCCTTTTGGATGTAAAGGGGCAAAAAACTCACCATTGGGTTTTTTACTCTCAGTTCCTACAATATTTTATAGCCTTGTTGCACTTTCTGTATTGCTGTTTTGCCTTCAGACAGAAGAGACAGTATAAGAGGGCTTACATCTGTCTATCAATAGATTTAAAGCAGTCTACTGTAGCCAGTAATTATACTTAAAATTATACCTAATCAGGGTCCTTTTCACCATAATTTTACTCTTCTTGCATTGTGAAATTTCCCCTTTTTATCCTGGCATATAGGTCCACCTCCAAACCACTGTGCAGTGATGGAAATTACTGTCAGACATCTAGGAAGGTGAATCAGTGACAGGAGAGTTTTCTGTGCTTATGATTTTTTTTTAATGCTGGGTAGCTCATGCATGGCACTTTTCTCTACAAAGGGAATCCTTCAAGCCTAATGGTCACCAAAAGTTGTACTGATTTTTTTACTGCTTATCTTCTCAGCTCTCTATTTCTCTCCTTCCAAGGTGCTTCATAAGGAATGGTCTCTTTTTACCAAAGCTTTTTACCAGAGAAATTAGCAAACTGCTTGCAGCTGGATCTGATAGATGGCTCTCCTAGCTAATGGATCCCTAGTTAAACAGGAGGAACTGCAGGGTGAGAGAGCAGGCAAACAAAAAGCTGGGAGAAATAGTCATGACATTTTAAAAAATGCATAAGCCTCTGTTTTTGCTATACATGAGTATTTTGCTAAAGGACTTTTGTTGGGACAGAGTAATCCTTTGCACCTTCTAGTGCACTTTATAGTTGAACTCTACTGCATAAGAGCAAAAGCAATTTGGGCAAATACTTACACAGCATGGTAGGGGAATGTTCTGCCCATTCCTGAGTTGCTCTAGATAACAACCATGATATCTATACTTTTGGCTTATACACAGTGATATTGCTTCTTATTTGATGGGGAAGAATGGAAAACTGTTTTAAGAATGCTTGCCTTCAGTTTCACTGGCAAGGGACATTATGAAGAAAACTTTTAGGACAAATACTCATCTGCTGAGGAGCCAAATGCCCTCATTTAAGAAAAGCAAAGCAAGAATCCACCTCTCTTCACACAGGGTGAAGAGCTGGAATATACAGAAAATTTTATAGTAAAAAATTATTTGCAATAGTATGTTTTAATCATACAGGTAATTTATTTCAGAATGTTCACAATATTAATAACTACCTGGATAGAACTCTTATTGATAGCCAGGTAAAATATTCACTTTTGGTTTATGTAGAATATATGCTGAAAGAGAGGGGCTAAAATTTTTGTCTTTGGTTGAATGACATTAGCTTAGTGTTACTTTATTATGAATCATATTTGATACAATTATGCCATTGAATTTGACTCATTAGCTGCTTTTATAGAATCATAGTTCCTCCCCATTATTAGTATGAAATCATAAAGAGTCACATAGAAGCTTGGTCTCAGATTTTGGGTTATGTTAGTGCGTTGCATGCATTTGGGGATAAAAATTACAAGATACCTATTAGTAATGAAATAGCATAAAGAGAAAGGGTTTCCTGATAAGAATTAATTCTCCCCCCCCCTTTTAAGTAACAGTAATTGTTTTCATTAAGAATTTAAATGAAGTTGTAAATATATGCACAAATTTTAGAATAAAAAAATAAAATTTTAGCTGGAAAAAATCTAAAATTTAGTCACTACAAAACCTTTAATTGCATATTGTGTTTTTAATGTCTTTTGCTAGTGCAGTGTGAAATAGGGGCACTAACAGAGCCTTATGGGCTTTAAGAATACCACTGGATGTTGCTCAGCCTCTGGTTGCTTTCCTCTTCATCCACTCCTGTAGCTGCTCCTGATTAGCTGAGGATCACATGCCCTTGATAACTTATTGAATCCAACTGATTAATTTCTTTTTAAGAGCCCAGGTAAAAGGAGTATTTTCTTAAGAGGGAGCCTGGTGGTAGATGGACAGAGAGGTTATAAACTGATCAATGAGATGTAAAGGAAAGCATATGTTCTTGAGAACCTGTGTAGGCTTGAAGGGTTTTGAAACTCTGAAGAGTACATCCTCTGCAAGAATGGGAAGAATAAAAGTAGTTGAGAAGTCTTGAAGGCTTTTATTTTCTGATTTTCTTTGAACTGCTTCCTTTTTTTTTTGGTTCTCCGCTCTCTTGCTGGAAGAGGTAGAGGTATAGTAGCCTGAGGTAGGTACTAAGCAAGCCAAGTGACTGATGATGAGAACTAACTTGGGAATAAAAAGCTGGGCTAAAAATTCTGTGCTTTACTAGGGAAAAAGCAGATAATTTCTTTGAGGAAGCACAAAGTGTGACCAGTTTCTGTGCTGTGCTGTTAGAAACACTGAGTACATCTGTCTTGTCCCTAGGAGTGCAAGGGTGTTCAAGGAGCCTGGAGCAAAACATCTGGTTTCCTTATAGTTTCTTCTGGAAGTCTGGACACCCTAAACTTCAGTGCTGAAGTTACATTCTGAAAACATGAATTGGTGTTAGGTGTGCTGTAATGTAACCAAAGGGCATATCACTGCAATTGATCCATTTGTGCATAATTTTGTTATGGAAAAGAATGGTCTTATCTTAATTTACTATTGAATTTTTTTTCTATATAAAATGGCTTTAACCTGATTGTGTGTCTGAGTAGAGGAAAGTTAGATTAATTGTGTGACATCAGAGGAGCTTTTGAATCTTTTTAGTACCTGCTTTCTGGTTTTGTATTGAAAGTAACAGGGGTATTGCTAAAGACATTGCAAGAGATTTATTTGAGGTGTTCCAGGCACAGTGTACTAATTGAAGTTCAGTGTAACTTCTTTTTGTCTTTGTAGTACATTTTTTGCTGTCCACTTGAGGTAAAAAATTGTTTTGTTTTGTTATAGGGAAAGGTGAACATGGGAAACCCTACCCTCTTACAGAGGAAGACCATGATGATTCTGCTTACAGGGAAAATGGCTTCAACATATTTGTTAGCAACAACATAGCACTGGAACGGTCCCTGCCAGACATCCGACATCCCAAGTATGTAAACTGTTTACTGGACTATTTAATTTTTAAAATTTTATCTTTGTGTATCTCTAAATATATTTTCCAGAAAGGTAAAGCATAACCAGTCAACACAAACCAATAATTTCATTTTATAGGAGCTGGAAAATTTACCACTGTTGTTAAATCATGTGCTCTGTCTTTTAAAATGACTTCTCATCTGATTAGTTACACATTAAGAATATAAAAGGCCTATTTTCATTACAGAATGATTTTTATTAAATTTCTGTGTAGTGAATTGGGATAAAAAGGATTCACATAATTTCTCATGTTCTCATTTGGCTAATAGCTGCAGATCTTTGGGCTGGGGAGCTGAGTGACAACTTTTATATCATTTTTGGTGGTGATTGCAGAGTCTTTCTTCTGTTTTGTTACATCAAAAGTTAAAGCAATGCAATAGCTGCTGAGTGCTGATACATCAGCTGATTTATGCTGTGTAGAATTGTGTAAAAAAAAGAATATGCATGATGAGCAGGCAGAATTTGAGGACACATGGTGGTATTATTCCCTAAAGCATTAATATAACACAGAGAAATGGGATGAAAATTATTCTGGAAAATAACCACTGAGTTAAAATCGTCATACAGCAAACCTGAGTTGCTTTTCATGTTGCTTAATTTTTGGCTCCTTTATACAAAGAGTAGAACTCCCTATCTGTGACAGGGAAAGGGGCACCATTGCCATTGTAGGCTCCAGGTTCTTGTCCTCTAGAGTCATTCTGAAGCTGAACTCTGAAGAGGCAGCTGATTTGATTGTCTCCTTAGCTGGTATTTTCCCACTCTTTTAATTGGATGTTATGCAACTAGTGTACGGGAGAAAGGTGAGACAAAACTAGTTGTCTCCATGACTATGTTTGTATTTTCCTGCAGATACAATTCTCTCTATTATACAAAGATCCATGTTAAGATATTGTTCCACTTCTTAACTTATTTTGGTAGGAAGAGTTGTCAGAGAACAGAGCTGAACTGCACGGCTTTACAGAAGTTCTCAGTGCAGGTAGAAGAGAAACATCATGGCAGCTAGCACATTTTTATGCCGAATGTGCAACTGTCTTTTTCAAAGAATTAATACTATATAATATTTGCATAGTAAGAGTTTAAAAAAAGAAATGCATAGCAGAGGAATTAATCTTTTTTTAGAGATGGTTCTAATTTAATTTTGATTGTTAATTGCGTAATTTAATTGTTGCATTGTTTTGAGAAAAAAAACTATTTCTTAATTTATAAACACTATATTAGGATTGTTTGCATAGGATTAAGTAAAAAGAAATATATTTTTATAACAAGCTGTATGTTTTATATACATTCTTTACTTTCTGCATTGACAAATTAGCTGAAATGATATAAAGAGTGCTTCCAAGAAGTTTGAGTTCAAATGTACAGCTGTATAGCATTGAAGCTGTGGTAGATTACATTGTTACTATAATTAATGTGTTCATCAAGCAACCTCCTCTGTTAGCAAAACTGCAGAGGATAATGACTAGACACAAAAGGAAGCTGTCAGGTTTGTCATCCCCTTGTGCTTTTGTAAATTGGTCTTCTGGCAACTTTTTTCTCACCTGCTGCTGTCCTTGCAGTCCGTGACATTTCCATGCGTGTCCCCAGAAGCAATGTGTTGTCAGAAGTGATGTGTTAGGAACAAGTCAGTGCCACACCAGACTGCCCTCTTTTCCCCAGCACAAGTCTTTTTCTGACTTGCTCCTAAGCATCCCATTTGGGAAGCTTGAGGTGCCTGCATGGTTTCCATGTTCCAATTCAGCCAGGTTCCTGTGACATTCAGTAAAATCTCGTGTGGTGGCTGTTTTAGTGGTGTCCTGACTTAACTGACTGGAGTCATGGCCTTCTAACCTTCCTCATGTTAAACACATAGTACAAGTAGCCCATTAGTTAATTGACTGTATCACTTACCATCTAAAGATAAAGAGAAAAAATGTTCTTGTGCTATAATTGCCTACTAAGTAGTGTCCTAATTAAGGTGACAAAGCTGGGCTCAATACTTTTGATGGCCATACCTTGAAGCAAGTGTATTTCTTGAACTTCCAAGAGTCACAGAAGTCTGACAGTGCTTTCTGACCTACTGTTAGAAACAAGCAAATCTCTTGGCTGCTGTGTGTTAAGTATGGCCAGTCTCAAACTGCCCTGCATTGTAGGAAGTGTCTCCTCTCTTCAGAAGGGTGTATGAAATGCAAAATAGTTCACATTGTGTCACATGACATTGTGCTGGGTTTGGCTGGGGTACAGTTAAATTTCTTAATGAATTTGTATGTTGTCTGTGCTAGAGGCTGGGGCTAAACTGTGACACTAATAGAGTTGCTTTCAGACAAACTAATGGAAAACTATGTAATTTCTGTTTTTAGAAAAGGGTTCTCCTCAATAACATTATAGCAGACAAATCAGGTGTGGTATTGCAGGCAGGTCTAGTTTGGCCATCTTTTGAACATTTTAAAAGGTTTGGCTTTGTGGACCTTCTAACTGCTTTGAGGCCTTTAGCTGTCATCCTATGGAAATTTATGGGAGATGCTAGTATTGTAAACTTTAAGTTCTGACCCTCTGTCTCTATTTAGTGTATGCCATTTACACAGGGAAAATGGTTATCTTCTGCTGAAGATGTATTTCCTGAAAATACTGTCTCTGATATGTTTTATAGAACCAAATAGAATGGTTTTATTGCCCTTAGTAGAGAAAATCCAAAAAATTAGCCTTCAAATGCAACAAAACTGAGTGGTAAATCCTGTAATTTGAATAAAAACTTACTTAAATTGACACAGCAGCTGCAGTAGTTTCTACATTCTTCTGAAATAACTTCAAAAATATTATATTCCAAAGTCAAACCAAAGAAACTTGAAGAACCACTTACAAGTGTTTGATTTTCTGGGAAGTATGCAAAGACAGCAGAAAAAAACTGTTCTTTTTAATCCAAATAAACTTTCTTTTTCTGAGTTTCTTGGGAATTTGGGCTTAGGATCTGCAAATAACGCCTTCTGCAGGGGGATGGGTGGAACCAAACAAATGCTTAGATAATTGAGCTCTCAGAAATTCAAGTTTTCAAATGTGTTTAATAATACTCTTTTGTTTTTCCTGTGATATTTATAACGCTTCAGCAAGATGCTATGATTGATTCTTCTTTCCTTTTTAAGGCAGCAAAATGCATGTACTGTAAAAAAATTGTGTAGTGAAACATTTAACTTCTATTCTAAGGCTGACTTGACCTTTCCTGCATCTTTAATATGTTTTTGTTGCATCCTTCTAATATCTCCTATGCTTTTTTCTGTCTCTCATAGCTGTGCTCAAATAATGTTTTTTTCCATTTCTGAGTGGCGTTTGATGTCTTGTTTCTGTTCCACTCTTGTGTGAAAGCCTTGGCACAGTGGGTGCCAAGCTACATGAGCTAATTTTCTGTTCTCTGCCCACCATCACCCATGTCTTTAAGTTTAACCAAAGAAGCAATCACAGAAAACAACTTCTTCTTTTCCCCCTCTAATTCTAAATAACAATCTGAAACAGGCTTATCACCTTAGTTTATTTGGTTTCAGGACTGATTTAGTGAAAATAAGAGTTCTGGTCACCCAAAGCTAACATTGAGTTTAGGGTAGTATTGAGAGAAAGCAATGGAATTGATATTTAGGGGTTAGAAATTCTATACCAATATAAGAAATATTTCAAAACCCACAAGAAGTTTTCTTATTTTCATTCACTTCTGTTTTCAACTGCTTTGTGTAGTCTAGAATATAACAAACCTGCAAATGCTAGGGAAAAAGTTGGCAGTATTATTTTCTATTGTAGGTAGAGAAATGCTACTTATTCTAATAGTGAATGTACCAAATGAAATTAATTCTTATCTTCTCCATATTATCAAATATTCTGCTATTCATACCAGCTTTTCAAACAAATAAAACTGAATCTGACTCGCATTTGGAATAGTGTTCTAAATGTGATTTTAATGAGACTTGGGGGAAGGATTGCAATCATCTAGTCTGAACAGTGAATGTAAATTTCGTGACCTATCCTGTTTCAAGCTCCTAAGTCTTTTTATACTGGAAATCAATTTCTTAAGCTTTTCATTATTGACTGAAGAAATTCAAGTTAGTTCCTGATACCAATACATTTGCAAGCTTTATAATTAAAATACTTTGCTTTGTATGTTTGTATATTTTAATTTCAAAACAGGTCTCCTTTTATCTAAAATTTGTAGATTAATTGCTGATAACCATATCGTGGAGTGCATCAAGCACAGCATTGCAAGCCAGGCAAGGGAGGGGATTGTCCTTCTCTGTGCTGGTGCAGCCTCACTTGGAGTCCTGTGCACAGTACCACCATGTAAAAAGCATAAAAAAGCTACTGGAGAGCATCCAGAGCAGTATCATGAAGATGAAGGATGTAAAGGTAAAATTGTATGAGATGTGGCTGAGGTCACTTGGTTTGTTCAGCCTGGAGGAGACAGAGTGGAGACCTCATTGCAGTCTGCCTCGGGAGGCAAAAAGCTGGGCAGGTGTTGTTCTCTCTTCTGTGGTAACCAGTGGCAGGACCCTAAACAGTGGCATGAAGCTGCGTCAGGGGAGGTTTAGGTCAGATATTAGATCAAAGGTGTTTTTTACTCAGAGGGAGATCAGGCACTGGATCAGGCTCCCCAGGAAAGTGGTCACAGCACCAAGCCTGACAGACTTCAAGAAATGTTTGGAAAATGCTCTAAGACAAATGGTGCGATTCTTGGAGTGATTCCTGTGCAGGGCCTTGCTGATCCTTGTGAATCCCTTCCAGCTCAAGCTATTCTATGATTTTATGTCTTCGTAGTCTTAGATCAGATGTGCAAATATTCCCCAGTTTGCCTGAGTAATCTATCACAAGAAATCTCATCCTTTTAAGGTTTCCCTGGGCATAGATAGATTCATTGGGTAATGAAATTCTTAGCATTCTTCTTGTATGTTAAAAGTGTCCAACCTAATTATAATAAATATCTGGTTTCTAGCCTGTATGGGC